GGGGGGGGGGGGGGGGGGGGGGGGGGGGGGGGGGAAAGCCACGTGACCTCATCAAAGTAGCAGTTGGTGATTTTTACAGTTTCATTACTCATCTGGCTCTACAGGGCGGTGGATGAAAGGCCAAATACGGTTGAGAGTGTTCCCCTGTATGGATATAAACAGATTTTTTGGTCGATGGCGTTCGCTAGTGCCAGCCAGCATAAGTTTTGTTTTTCAGGTTCCGGTTTGACGCCAGTTGTTTCGGGCCCCGAAACATCCGAGGAACAGAAGAAACGCTTCGAAATTGAATGCGAATTCGTACAATCTCTTGCTAATCCGCATTATTTGAATTGTTAGTCTTCCTGTTCTTGTGATAATGCTAATTTACAATGTAACATGCTGAAGGAGGGGGAGGGAGGGGGAGTTAATTTTTTTCAGTCAGCCAATGTGATGTTTCTGTAGCCCAATTGGCAGAAAGATGCAGAGAATACAAAAAAAAATTCGAAATTTTGCTAATTTTTTTAAAATATAATTTAAAAAAGTTGCAGTTTTGGCACAGCGTGGTTATTTTAAGGAACCATATTTTATCAATTATTTGAAATATCTTTTGTACTGGAAAAGACAGGAATACGCAAGGTTGGTATTTAGAATTCTTTAATTTTTATGGGATAATGAAATAAGCCCTAGCGGAGTTTCGTGACTTGAAAATTAATAAGCTGAACTAGTGGCGTGCCATCTGAGTGTGTGGAAGCACATATGTATAGTTATAAGCAATAACTGAAGTTTTACAACGTAAAGTAAGATAAGGAAATGATACGAAAAAGATGGCGAGACACTGGGAAATCGGAGCTCCACAGAACAAGGTGGTGAGCTGCGACTCTGGATCGCGGAGATGGAGAGGAGTGCTTTTATACCTCAGTGGTCAGAGATCACTAGGGCTGCAAAACTTTAACCCTTGGCGTATTTGCATGTCTTGTTTTTTAATCTTTTCATATTAAATTTAGCGTTTTTGGGACATTCTTTGGTCAAAAAAGTCACTCAAAATAGGGTAGTTTGGGGAGGGGAGGTGGGGGAGAGGGGTTTGTCGAAGGTATTTTTTTCTGAGCTATTTCGTTCTTGTTTTGCAGAGCCTTAAAATACCCGCAGTG